GGTTGGGAGTCGGGGTCGGGATTCCCCAGCCCGTGTGAGCGCAGTGACCTCTAATCGCCAACTCGTAGCTCCAAATCTTCGCCTCTTGTGTTGCAGGAGGCCTAATTACATTTTAACCCTGATTGCCCTGAAGGGCGATGAGTGTTCGCGTAGGGAAACGCTTCTCTGTTCTGCTTTTCACCAGTGTTGTCCTTCTGTGGTAGTTGGTCATTGCCTTGTTTGTGCTGATACAAATGAAGTTAAAGCGACTTTTTCGGTTGTTTGGTGAAACAGGAGGTTTTTTCAGGCCTTTCTGGCTTCAGCCCTCAAGGCCTGTAAGTCTCACCTACATTTACAAACAGCCTGGCTCATCACCTTACTTAGAGAATAGTGGAAATAAGCAGGAGCACTGCAGTAAGTAACTTTAAATTAAATATTGGAGTGAAAAAAGGAACATCAGTATATTCTCAGTGCTGCTTAAATTGCACAATCATTTAGGGTGAAAAAGACCTCCAACATCACCGAGTCCAACTTTTGACTAAAACTATATTACTTTAATATAAATGTGTATTACCTTAACATAAATTTATGTTAGCTTAACACAAACTTGTATTACCTGAATATAAATTTGTATCACCTGAGTATAAATTTGCATTACCTGAACATAACTTGCCGTGATTTTAGAGGTGAGTTATAAACGTCACCTGCTTGAAGTTCAAAACGTGCACTTTCGTTTCAGGCCTTTAATTCTTGTGTTGGAAAACCACACTCTGTCTGGTATTTTATTAGAGCAGTGTTCTGTTCCCCCTTTAGTTAAAGTTTTTTGACACGTTATTTGTCTCCTTGAGGGGAAAAAAAAAATTATCAGCATTAATAATCAGCGTTTGCAAAACAGCTGCAAACAGAAGCCAGAGTTTAAAATGGTTCTCAGGTTGAAATCACCGAACTCTTAGAGGTACAAGTGAGGCATTGAGGCTGAAGCTGGTGCTCTTGCTAACTTTCTGAATTATTTTTAGGCTGCTCTTTGGTTTTATCTGTCCCAGGGGTAGCTGAGAATTTGCATTCCGTGGGTTTCCAGTGAAAGCTGTGGCTTTCTGTAGGTTTTTGCTCAAGTGCAGCAGCTGGGACAGCTTTGAACAGGTTTGTGAAAGGCTTTGTGACCCAGAGAACCACGGGGAGAGCTGGTGGCCACAGGCTCTCCTGCTCTTTGGAGATGTAAAGTATTTCCCAGAGTTTCAGAAGCACAAACAGCACAGGCAGTGTGAGGGCCTGGGAACTCATTCCCACGCTGGAATTTGTCTCCTGCTGTTGCTCTGGTAAAAGTTTGGGTTGGTTGCAGGATGAGTCAGATCAGGGAAGTGATCCAGGTTAATATTTTAAGAGTGGTTTTTAGTTTGGATCAGTCCCCCACTGTGGTTCCTGGGAGAGAGCAGCTGGGAGGGAGAGGAAACTTCAGGAAGTTTTCAGGAGGAATTTGTTGCTGGAAAGGGTGGTCAGGCCTTGGCAGGGGCTGCCCAGGGAGGTTTGGAGTGCCCAGCCCTGGAGGTGTCCCAGGAAGGCCTGGCCGTGGCACTCAGTGCTCTGGGCTGGGGGACAAGGTGGGGATGGGGCCCAGGGGGGATCCATGGGCTGGGAGGGCTTTTCCAGCCTCAGTGATCCTGGGATTGTCATTCTGGAGAGAAAACCTGTTTATTCTTAAATATCTGCTGGTTCTACTTGTATGAGCTGCTCCTGTCAGGGCAGTTTTGTTTTTAAAATATGCACAGTTTGAAGGAGGGGGAGGTTTGGTTGCATCTCCAGAAGGAATTTGGCTGCGCTGGGTCTCGGGAGAAAGAACTGAAATTACAAAACAAAACACAATTAGTAACAAAGTATATTGGCTCAGTGGGCAAAGCAACTGGGTTGTCAAAGTGACTTTTCACCAGGGGACAAACTCTTACTGAACCTCAGTTGTTCATGAGCTAAAGTGGTGCATTGATGAATGAAGTGGAAGGGGCCAAATGGACTGAAATATTTCCTGGGGAGTTCATCAGGAATTAGGGAGTGGTTGCTGACAGCTGGGTGTGCTCTGAAAACTGCAAAAATAATGGTCTTAAACCACTGGGCTACATTTTTTAAATCTGGTGTTGCTTTGTGCCCTTGTTTTAGTGCCTGACCTGCTCAAGGCCAGGTTGGGTGGGGTTTGGAGCAACCTGGGGTAGTGGAAGGTGTCCTTGCCCATGGCAGGGGGTGGAATGAGGTGCTTTCTGTGCACGTGTAGGATTTGCTTCCCTGGGGAAAAGGACTTCTTGGTGATGATGTCAGTGCTGGTGACACTGAGGTTCTTTCTGTCCTTCCTTGGTGCTGTCTCATGGTCAGGGGAAATGGTTCTTCCTTTTTAGGAAGAATTTGTTGCTGGAAAGGGTGGTCAGGCCTTGGCAGGGGCTGCCCAGGGAGGTTTG